CTCTTCCTTTATTGTGGAGAAAAGCTGCAGCAAGCCTGTGACTTTTCAGCTCATTCTTATTTAACAATATGTTTAAAATAAAAACACTATCTGAATTAGAATGTCTAATCCTATGTAACAATAAATAATCTGTACCTGTTGTAGCTTTAACTATTTTCCCCTCCTGAGAGCTCTGCTCCACTTAAGCCAAGGAGCCTGCACTGGGGAAGGGAGAAATGATCTGTATGCTCCCTTCTCACCTCCTCACCTAATGGCTGCTGATTGCTCTGTGCCCAAGAGCAGAGAGCTAAGGAGATAAAATAGTTCTTGCCTGACTGGATGGTTCTGTGCCCTATGGGCCAGGCAGATATTTGAAGAAGGTATTCCCCCTGACCCTAGTGGATGCAGCTTTAATCTGAGTCTCCTGCGACTTCCTCCTCAGTCCAGATGGCACACTTGTAGCCTCTCTGTGCTAAGGTCTCCTGGCCTCTTCAAATGATCCTATTGGAGAGGACCCAAGACCACCCCACACTTTCTCCTACAAGGCGCATAGGATATAGTCATGCATCACTTGTGATGGCAATTTCTGGGAATGTAGGTTAATGCAAAAGCAGCAGCACTCACCGGGCTCCACCATCAAAACAATCAGCAAGTCTCTGCCTGTCTTCTACATTTCCAAGGCAGGAGTCAGATTCCAGGCTCATCATTCCTTGGCTATAGGAATAAATACCTCAAGCTTCCCAAATGGTCCCAGTGAAGTCCTCAATTAGACTGAGGTAGGAGGGCAGAAACCAGCCACCCAAAGAGGTAGGTGGGTTCTGACAATCCAGATGTACTCTGCCTCACAGTTAACAAACTATAAAGCAATCTTGCACTGGTTTCCTCCCACTGTTGTGGCGCGATCAATTCTAAGACCCACGGAGCCAACTGAGATGAATTATGAGCCTTTATTAGCTGGCAAGTGACTGACTCTCTACCACTACCACGCAGGGTTCGAGATCAGCCCCGAGCTCCCAAAAGAGGCAGCTTATAAAGCCTAGAACCACACCCTGGTTTAACATCAAACAAGCAAACAGATTACAGAAGCAGAAGTTGGCTGTTAGCATATCTTTGCCCAGAACCACACCCTTAACAGGACCCTATCTTCTTTTTTTTTCTTTTTTTATGCCTACAGTACCTGGTATTCCAAGGTAGTCTCCCATCTAAGTACTAACCAGGCCCGACCCTGCTTAGCTTCTGAGATCAGATGAGATCAGGCATGTTCTGGGCAATCCCATCCTCTTTCTGACCTCGAACCTTAAGTGTGCTATTAATACTACCAACAATAATTCATTCATTCCCTCACAGAAACAATATTCATGTTCTTTTCTTGAAATTTTCTCCCATTCTCACTCCCCAACCCTTTCCCCCATTCTAACTCGAGTCTACTTTCTGCTTCATTGAGAAAAATCAATGCGACCAGAAAAGAACTTCCCAAACTCTATCATGATCTTCTGAATCCGAAACTGAAGGAGGGCTTAGCAATTTGCATTATAACAAGCCTTCCAAGTAATTTTACTGCACTCTAAAGTTTGAGAACCACTGCCTTTCACAATCCAGGCAGCTCCATCTTACTCTCATTTACTTCTTACTATTCTTGTCACTCCCTCAATCTGTTCTCAAATTGTTCCTTAAACTGGTCTCATTGTTCTTTAAACAGCTGTAATAGTGTTATTCTTTAAGGAAATATATATTGTTCTCTCTTCAGTCTAGACTCTCAACTTTAGACACTGAAGCCCAGGCATGAACTTGAACAAGAGCTTGTCCTGAAGCTGATGATGGAGCAGGGAGGACCCAGATCAGGCTAAGGAGAGTGCTGCTTTCAGAATCAGGGTGACTGATGGAGCCACCAGTGGGGCCTAGGCTGAGTTAGATGGAGCCTGGGACCTGAGTCCCAGGTGGCCGGAGCCAGAATAGGCCAAAGGAGTATCCAAATTATAAGTAAGGGGAAAGCAAAAGAGGGAAGAGGACTGACCTCAGCTGTCCTGCTGATCTTGCTAAGAAAACTAGGAAAATTAGTCAAGATCTGGGAATCTAAATAACATTTGGGAAAGTACATGGACATGGAGCTATAAAAGGTGATATGCATCTCACCATGAGATGCCTTGCTACTCTAACACACTCCTTGAGCTTTGTGGCTTGCCTCCCCCTATTATTCCGGGAGGCTCCTGCCCCATGGATCTGCCACTGTAGTCCTTTCCCCAGTTATCCCTGAAAAGTCCTGACAAGCTGGAGAGGACTGTCAGGATATTTTATCTTGGCTGCCTGGAAGCCAGCCCCACTCACCAGCCCTCTAAATGGGAATCTCTAGTAGGCTGTGTGAACCCTCTGCACTTTTGAAATTCATGCCAACAGCCTCTCCTTCCTTTTCTCTACAGATCTCCTGGATCTGCACCCTCCCTCAAGAGGTTGGCACCTGTTCCATGCCAACTTCTACCATTATCCTGGAGAACCTCGAAACCCATGCAGACAATACCCCCAACACCTGAGCCCTCAGTCCATTAACAATCTTCTGGCAACCTTCCTTACATGCCTCTCAGGCACTCATCCCTGTAGCTACACTCCAGACCTTGCCATCACCTGGAGCTGCTCTGCATTCCAATTTCTGACCACAGCTTCCCATCCTCCCAGGTTACTTGTTCAATTACTGCCAGTATAACAACCTACTCCTGTCCTCACTCTCCTACCTGTTGTACACAATTCCATGGTCCAGCATACCTATCACTTGCGAATAGTCTGAAACTCCTTTGCTTACTTTCCTTTCACTTCAATTGTGTGGCAAGGTTCCAACTCTGGATGATCCCTCAGTGCTCACATTTTCCACAGCTACACCTAGATTCCTGAGTAGGCAGAGATAACCACACCATTGAGCTGATTGGTATAACTATAAATTCATGAATTATACACTATAAATTCAAACAGGTCCTCAATATTAGTCAGTAATCCTCATCCCACAAGATGACTTCTCTCTCATCTTAATGGACCTCTCAACAGCATTTGACAGCTGACAACCTCCCTATTCCTTCCATGTTAAAAAATACACTCTCCTGGTTTTACTCCTCCATCTCTGGCCCAATTTCTCATCTTGTCATCTTTACTGGTTCACTTTCCTTTACCCAGCCACCAAATGTTCCTCGGGGTTCTATTTTGAACCATTTTCTCCTCTCATTATCTTACTCTGGATATCTTATCTATTCCTATAACTTTCATTACCACCTCTGGGCTGCTGATTCCCAAATCCCTAACACAGATCTCTCCTGAGTCTTTTGTTTCACTTCCAAACCAACATCTAAAGGTACTTAAAACCAAAGCCCACCCAGTTGCTCAAACCAGAAACCAGAGATTCATTTCAGATGCCTTTCTCTCGCCAACCCTCAACATCTACCAGTTCTACCTATTGAAGTTCTCTCCTCTGCCTACTTCTTCCATCATCACTAGTCCACAGGGCCCTCATGTTGTGCCCCAAACCTGGATTCTGGCAACACTCCTGCTCCCATCAATCCCACTCAACTGGACACTGTCATTCCTTGTCACCTGCTTAGGTGAACTCAAGTGACAAGCTCTGGGAATACAAAGATCAACATGATTTTGAAAGACTGCAGCCTAATGCACAAAGCAATCACAACATACTATTTAAATGTATTAAGAGCACAAAGCTGCACTCTAGATAGTGCTTTGAGAGTAAAGATGAAGACATTCATTCTGCTTTGTGAATGATGGAATAGGAAACAACTAGGCTGTTTAGGAGGAAGAGTAAGACTGCCAGTTAGACAAGCATTCAGCAGAGAGAAAAGTACATAGAAAGGCCCTGTTTAGTATTTGCTGAATAGTTCACAGCCCAACCCCCACACATGCCCTCTGGCCGACAATCTCCCTCAAAATCTCCATCCCCTTTGGGAGGAGGCATCTAACTGACTCAGAGCCCTGGAATCTGTGTCCCACTAGTCATAAGCAGTTCTTGTCCTTGGAAAGAGGTAGAAGAAGTTGTATCTTTATACTTGGTCCCATGGCAGATTCATTTTAGGAGAGGCCAAAGATCTGTCAACCCAGTTCGTCTTCTCCCAGCACAAGCTTTCCTTGTCTACCTTTCCTTGCCATGCTGATCTGGGCCCACAGCTAGGGAGAAATGACAGACCCTTCTGCCAATGAACAGCTTAATCCACCACCCCAACATGGCATGAACCAACTGTTATTTATGAAAAGACTCTCATCACCCTCCTCCAAGGACAGCTCAGAATCTATAAAGAATCTTTAAATAACCTATTAACTGAGTCCACTGAAAGGCCTATATTGAGCTCTCCGAAAGTCTTCCTCGGTCAACAAATCCATTCTTTACTCTTCAACCTTCAGCCCGTCCTAGGGAGTCTTTTGAGAACAATGAGGCTTACAACACATAATAGCCACAGCTACATTTTACTGAGCACCTTTTCAGTACCTGGCCCTGGCTATAGATTTCCTCTGTTGGTCCATACGACAATCTCATGAGACAGGAATTCTACCATTTTCCAAAGGAAAAATGTGACATTCAGGGATTAAACGACTCTTAGTAATAAGTGGCAGGCCAGGATTTGAACCCAGGCCTACCTGATTCCAAAACCTGTGTTCTCAGCCAGACACACACCAGGGCCCCACAGGACACTAGGTGCCGAGAGTTGTTTGGGTCATGTGGCTCTGAAGATGGAGATGATAGAGGGGAAAGAAGTGCTTAGTACAGGGATAAGCAAACAGTCCTGACCCAGAAACCCAGATTGATATGTTGAGCCAGGATGTTCGCGGGCTACCGGCTGTCCCAGAGACAAGAAGTAGTGCCTGCTTGTCTGAGGCCTTGAGGGCCTAAGCAGCCCAAAGCTGAAAGAGCAGAAGCTATGGGTGAGTAGAAGGAACTAGTATGCAGACAGAAGATCAGAAGGGAGAATTGAAAATGCCAGAACAGAAAGCCCATGTGGCTCCTGAGAGATGAAAAAAGGAGTCAAACACAGAGATGCCTTGAATTCCAAACCATCTAGTTTCCATGATTCCTAGGGGATGCATAGTTCCCAGATATCCCTGTGTTCTTACAATACACCCCTTTAGTTAGTCCCTAGTGATTTTATGCTTCTTGCAATCAAGAAGCCTCCATTAGAGCAGGGCTGAGCCAAGGGTTTCATCACACTTTGTTCTTGGGACAAAGGAAAGGTAGTACCAGGTCCTGGGTCACAGCCTGGCTGGATACAGTCTTCAGAGTTCTGAGTCTGGAGTTCGAGACTTGCCTCCCCTTTCAAGGGGGGTCCAGAGGTCACCTGCGCTTATAGAGACATGGCTGAAGCTTCAGGCCTGAAAGTTGAGCCTTGGGCCCTACTCGAGGGGGCCCAGTCTTTTCAAAATCAAACAAGAAGAAGTGGCTGTTGGTCAGGTCCTAGAGGCAGAAAAGACCCAGTGAGCTCCAAATCCTCACCCCACTCCTCAAAACACCTTCATCCATGTCCCACCCTGCTCAGAAGGCTTCCCAGGGCTCTCCCATGAGTCATGCTTTCAAGAAGGAAATGCCTGTGTCTGTGCCTATGGTCCCCTTCCTGAACACCATTTTCATGAAAAAGGCCACACATGAAGCAAAAATAGGAACAGATATCTCAGGGCCCTTACCTTGGAGATGACCTTAAAGCCTAGTTTGGTCACAGCTCCTAGAAAGGTCCGAACATCTTCAAAGCGGCTGCTAACCTCGGCCACTTTCAAGAGACCCCTAAGAAGGATGGAGAGTCCTGTGTAAGTGCACAGACACATGCATGTGCACACACATATATATATGCATCTGCGAACTAGGGGCTCTTACCCTGGCTTCAGCACTCGATTCGCCTCCTCTAGAAAGTCCCTGATATTGGTTCCCATCAGTGAAAGGCAGAACACGGCCACATCCACAGACTCATCCTCCAGAGGCACCTATGAGGAGTGAGAGTGTTGTATGAGATGCACAGTATGGAGAGGAGAAAACCACCCTTGAATGCTAGGGTTGGACACCAGGATGGGGGAGGGGGGGAAGAAAGGAGGACGGAAGGAGTGTTAGAGATTAGCACATGGAGCTTGGGCCTAGAGCACAGGCCAAATACATAGAGGAATAAAGGGGTTTACCTGGGCCATGTCACACACAGTGACCCTGGGGTCCAGGGAGGCCAAGTCAAAGCAGTGTACAGGGTTTCGGATACTTGAAGCCAGACGGCAGTCCCCACAGCCAAAGTCAGCTACCACGAGGGATGCAGGCCTGGGAGTGGAGGGGAGGGATCATTCACTAGTCTAGTCTGAGCCCATGACAGAGCCACATCACTTCTCCCAATGCCCAATCCCCATTCACCGCTGGCGAAGATCCTTGGCAATGCGGTCCACAGGTTGCAGTGGCCACTTCTTGACCTGGCTCTGGAAGCCTCGGTGGTAAAGAAGAAAGGCCTCAGGGTCTTCCTGGAAGAGGCGTTGTGCGGCACTGCTGGGCCCTGAGTACAGCTGTTCATTGAGGTAGCGAAATCGAGCACTATCCAACCGCTGTGCCATGCGGGCTCGCAGAGCCTCCCCCCGAGCCTCATGGCTGTCTGGACTCAGGGTAGGAAGCACCTCTGTCTCCTCTTTTGGGGCTGTGGCGGGAGCCTGGTCTGGCAGCTGAGGTGGCCGAAACTTGTTCTTGTGTCTACGCTTGTTCTTCTGCCGGTTCCGCCACTGCTTGCGACTCAAGGTATGGAGAGGTTGCGGGGAAGTGGTCCCAGGGCTTGGCTTGGGTGGGTCATCTGTAGCCCTACTCTTCCAAGCTTTGGGATCTGCAGGGAGGGAGATAGGAAGGCATATTTGGGGCAAGCTCCACTGAATTCAGAGGCTGGGCAAGTCATCCTGGCCAACATAGACTGGCCTGGATGAAAGTACTTATTATTGACTAAACCTGAACCTAATGGTGGCAGGTAACCTCTGTCATACATAGGATCAGCTGATCCCCCTCCCTGTCCCCCACACATACAATCACTAGTACCTGTCTGGTCAACACTATCCTGGGGCTGGGGAGGGTTTGAAGAGGCCCGATTCTGGTATTTCCTCTTTCTTTTCTCTTCTAGAGCAGAGTCACTGCTAAGAAGGGCCCCTTTGCGGCACTTCTTTTCTACTTTCTTTTCCTCAGAGTTATGGCCAGGTGGGCCCCGTTTTTGATGCTTTTTCCCTTTCTCTTCTACTTCAGTAGAAGCACTGGCAAACAAGGCCTTTTTTGAGTGTTTCTTCTTCTTTTCCACCACCTCCTCCTCAGAGTCACTGCCAGGCAGGCTGGGGGGTTGCTGGGGAAGAGATGCTGCCTCCAGGGCCCGTAATGTGGCTAAGAGTTGGCGGCGCTTGGAGCCCTGGGGGAAAACAAAGGATGAGAGTAGGGATGAAGAGAATGAACATGGCCTGGAGAATAAAAGGGGAGAAATGGGGACCCCAATTCAGACACTGGTGGAGGTATCTGGATTATTCCCAGTTAACTAAATTAGCTTGTCATGAAGCCTGCCAGATCCTGAAGAACTTTCAAGTCACTATCCCAACCTGAGAGGTCAGAGGGTAGAGAAACCACCCATTCCACTCTCTTCAATACGCAGAGAAAGTAATGGGGTTCCCCACAGGAATGTGGTAAGGCCAGAAGCAACTGGTCCAAGGCCAGAGACCAGGAGTTCCAAACCTCCATATCAGGCTTTTGCCTCTAGCTGATAAGAGGTAGGAAGGTTTCTGAAAACAAGAATGCCAGGACCTCACGTGTGTATTTAAGATGACTCTAAATGCAATGTAGAGGACAAACTGAAGGGGACAAGCTGGATTATAACAATGGGTTGACAGGATGAAGAGGAGGCATATAGCATACAGATTCCATGTTGGAGGAAGACTGAGGGTAGGAAGAGCTTGAGGAAGTACAGCTGCCTTCACATCAGCAAAGGCTTAAAGAAGGTCTATTGTTTGGGAGGCCTTCTGGGTTGAAATACTACTGGGCAGTCCAAGGCCAGGCACTTACCTGGTCTAAGCACCCCCTTCACACCACCTGTTGAATGGTATACTGATAACTCTTCATTGTCATTCACTCTTGTTCTCTCAAATGCAATCTCCACACGGAAATCAATGCTCTTTTCAAAATGCAACTCTGAAAGAATCCTTCCCCTGCTTAAGCCACTTAACTGGCTTCTATCCTTAAAATACGCAAAGCCACTAACTTAGCTTTCCAACTTCAATGGCATCCCCTCTCATTCTCTGTGCTCCAACCACACGGATTATTTTTGTGTAACCCTAACAAGACATGCTCTTTTGACCTAGGACCTTTGCACGAGCTTTTCCGGTTCAAGAAACCCTCTTCACTTCACTAGCTTCTACTCATCAACTTTCTCAGTTCCAACGTCCTTTTCTTTTGAAAGTTCTCGGATCTTCAGTCGGCTGCAGGCGCCCCCTCACCCTAATACACCCACGCACACGAGTGCGCGCGGCATACCCAGCGCAGGGATTTACCACGCTACTTGAATTCACTGCCTGAAACAGCTCCCATTGACCCTGCGGGGCCACTCACCTTGACTTGCGAGGCTGCCTCGGTCCGAGATTGTGAGGCTACAGGTCGGAGGCTCGCGGCTAATGGGGCCTCCTCAGCCCACTCCACCTCTTCAAACATGGGGGTACAGAGGCGGGCGAGGTCGCGGGATCCCCGCGCCTCTCCACGTGCAGAAAGCGTCTCCAGGAACCAACCTTCGCAGTCCCTGGAACAGATCCGAAAACCAAAGAGTGAAGGCCTGGTTGGCTAGAGCGGCCGGCGCGGTGCCGAAAACCATAGAGTTTAAACACTGATGGGCTAGAAAGGCAAGGAGGTAGGAAGGAGGGAGGCCCGCGCTGGCCGGAGAAGGCCAGGGGCGGGGCCGGGCAGCGGGCGCGGCCGGACGGGAGTTCCCCAGAGAAGGCTCCTCCAGCCCGAGTCCCGGTGAGTATGGTAACACCCGTGCCCTCTCCCCAAGGCACAAGCCCTGCCAGCCCGTCACCCCTCACTGCGGCTAAGTTTCGAGTCGGGAACGAGGGCCACCCCCGGGAAGACCCCCAATTTCCTCCTTCAGAGTATAGGGCGCCTGAGCTTGCCCTCGCCCCCAGCGCTGTTCGCGGGTTGCGTCCCTGTGCTTGCTCTCAGACATCCCCTGAGACTAAGATTAAGAGGAGACTACCTCTCAGTTACCCCCTACCTCGCCCGCTTTTCCTTCGCCCCCAGTGGGCACAGTTGCATATCATCCCGCTGCCCCGAACTCCTTTCCAGACCTCCGCTAGCTTGGGACGCAGCACCCAGACCCCCATCCCCCAACACTAACACCTACTGCAGTGGACAAAGTTTGGTGCTTACCCCCGTTCCCCGAATCCACTCACAGTCCCCAGGCTTCCCCAACTTAGGGGACTCGGCGCCGGGACGCTGCTATGGACGACATTTTCACTCAGTGCCGGGAGGGCAACGCGGTTGCCGTTCGCCTGTGGCTGGACAACACAGAGAACGACCTCAACCAGGGGTGAGCTCAGGTGGCTGGTGGGTGAGAGGAGGGGCAAAGACATGCTCCTTTACGTGATGCGGAGTGCTCACATCACTCTGTGGGGGCGGCTGACTTTCCTTTTCAGTGTGATGAGTGCCAAACGCAGCCTGTGGTGGTGGCGGCGGCGGGTCTCCAGAGGAAGCTGTGTTTGAGCTGAATCTTGACTGCTAAGTAAGAGTTTTATAGGCAGAAGCTGAAGAGAGCTTTGAACCGGCAAGACAGAGCGGAGAGTGCCGGGAAGTTGTCTACAGGAGTTCCGAATGGCTGAAGGATAGTTCTCTGTGGGCAGAAGCATTGGGTACAAGTGAACTACCGGAAATTGGAAAGGTCTGCAAGGGTCAGCCAGATCGTACAAGGATACTTAGGCTATAATAAGGTCTTTATTCTAAGAATAAATGTTTAAAGCCATGTAGTGAAATGAGATTGTCCATTTGTTAAGTGTCATCTTGGATACTTTGTGAAGAGCAGGTGGCAAGTGAAGAGAGGCAATTGCCTAGTTCATCCCAGAAGTAATGATGACTTGGACTAGAATGCAGGCTGTTGAAATAGAAAAATCAGATTCCTGAAATCTTTAAGATAAAGAATTGGAGAGACTTGGTAAGGGAAGTGAGGAAGGTCAAAGATGATGACCAGGGTTCTGGCTTGGGCACTTGGGTAGATGGTGGTTCCTTTTACTGCGATGCACAAAACTAAAGGATGATGAGTTCCACTCTAGACATGTTAAAGTGACAGTACAGCAAAGTGGAAATGTTGAGTAGGTTGTTGGTTATGCAGATTTGGATTTCAGAAGAGAGATCTGACTTGGAGACAGATTTGGAAGATAGTAGCCTATAGGTGAAGACATGGTCTGAAGACATGGGTGTAAAGGAGAGGGGATGAGAAGCCTGCAAGACCTAAAAGGAGCAACTAGAAATTAAAGGAAAAACAGGAAAATGTTAGTAAAGCTTAGAGAAGTGACTGTTTCAGTGAAGGGGGAGTGGTCAACAGTAGTGTAGGCTTCTGAGAGGTCAAAGAACTTGAGCACTCTAACCATTGAATTTACAACTAATGATATATTTGATGATCTCTGTGAGAGCTGTTTCAGAGGAAAACAAGTGAAGCTATGCTAGGTGCTAGAGGCCAAGAATCAGACGTAATCCCGGCCCTCAAGCCAGTGGCCTTGTGGCTGGTTGAATGGGAGATGAGGAAATAAAGTTCTTTAAGGTCAGCTGAGACCGGAAGGCAAGAAAAGCAATAGTGAAGTTGACTCAGAATGGTGAGTTTTAATTTTTTTATTTAAAATTTTTATTTTTTAGGGTTGGCAGCATTTAGTTTTTAGGTTTGAGAGGTAGGGATCACCTGTCATCTTCATTCAGGCTTCATTGGTTCCCATTAGGCTCTACACTATATCTCCATAATTCTCAGTCACTTGTTTCATTATTCATATAATTCCTCAGAAGGTGCTCTCATAATGACAGCAAGCACCTTTATTATTTTGTTGGTAGGTTTATAAAGCTTTAGGTGAAGTTGTTCAGTGGGCCATCTAGGAAGACTTTGCTGCCAAAAAGTGATGGGGTGGCATCAGTGAAACTGGAAGGCTTTGGTGGTATGAGGAGATAGGCTTTGGGGCCTAAGCTGGCTATATGCTGGATATGAAGTGGGAGTGAATTCCCTGCAAGTATCTTTGGGATTGAAGTCTAGGCCCTGAGGTGACAGGCAGCCTGACAGTGGGCAGAACCCTTATGCTCATACTTTTGCCCTGAGGCTCTGGTGCTATGGACTATAGAGGCTGATGAGCCAAGGCACAAGTTAAAGAGCTGGGAGGCAAAATTAACAGATAAGCAGGGAGTGGTAACTGCTTTGGGGAGGGGGAGGATCCCCACTTCCCAGGAAAGCTTTTGTCTATCTCTGTGAGCAGATGAGGGCAGCTGTGGAGGGAAATCATTAAGTTAAAGGCCATGCCTCCATCCCCCACCAGCTGTGGGCACATTGGGGTGGCTTGCGGTGGCCAGACCCCTGATCAGCAACCCGCCTGGCCTAGAGCCCCCACAAGGGAAGTGACCACAGCACTAAGGCATCCGGAGGCAGCCCTCCCAGACCGCGGACCGCCCCCTGCTCCGCCTCTTGATCTGCATCCCCCCCGGACTGGAGGGAATTTCCTTTTATGGCTCCAGGCTGTCAGGCAGGCCCAGCTCCCACACAGTTGTTTTGGGGATTTTTGTACACTTCTTTTACTTTATAAAATACACATCCTTAGAAAAAAGTCAGGTATAGTTTTTCTAAAGAAGCCATTTTTATTTTCTTCTGTTTTCTGTGCCCAGGATTGCTTGAGTAGAGGAATCCTATTTTATGTGGTTTGATACCTGCCTCATCAGTAATGACTTATCATAAGCATTTTTTATTATGAACCCTTCCAAAACATCATTTTAATTCCATTCCACTTTTAGATCTTAATTTCAGTTACCAAAGCCAATCAGTAAGCTTGCTTCCTCTCCCATGAGTTGTGGCCTTCCTTCTCCAAGGCACCCCACCTCCCACATGAACTGAACATCTTTGGTCAATCCATTCTCTCAAGCTTACAGTCTAATAGACAAAACAGCCCATTAATAAAGTTTTACAAGCTAGTGTGATAAGTACTATAGTAAGGGGGATGTACAAGATGCAGTGGAAAACAGAAAGGACCAACAGATATTGCAAAAGGGGTGCAGAGGACACCAGATAGAGAATGCTACCATTTAATAATACAGGGCATGCCAGGGAAGGGAGGCTGGTGGGAGATGGTGGTGCAGACAATGAATCATACGGACTTCTTGGGATTTCAGGTGGTGGTTGGTTGGGTTTGAAGCTCGGGGTAATGTCTGAATTGGACAGCTTTGGGAATTGCTGGCATGAATGAGAATCAAAGTCCTGGAGAGGTAAGGTTTCCTAGGGCAAATATGCAGAGGGATATCAGTTTTCCCTGTAGCAAAAAGCCTTTGCCCCCACCCCACCTCCAGATCAGTGACCATTGCCCCTTCTTTCAAAGGGATGATCATGGCTTCTCCCCCTTGCACTGGGCCTGCCGAGAGGGCCGCTCTGCTGTGGTTGAGATGCTGATCATGCGGGGGGCACGAATCAATGTGATGAACCGTGGGGATGATACCCCCCTGCACCTGGCAGCCAGTCATGGACACCGTGATATTGTACAGAAAGTATGTATGATCCTCTCTCTGCCTCCTATATCACGTACATGCCTGGAACTCAGTCACAGGCACTGTAACGTACTATAGAAAACGTGTATTTCTTCCTTGTGTATCTCAACACCCATCTCTCATTTGAGACTGACTGTGCCCTTCTGCTTCTTTTGTCTTGTCTGGCCCTGGGGACCAGCTGCTACAGTACAAAGCTGACATCAATGCAGTGAATGAGCATGGGAATGTGCCCCTGCACTATGCCTGTTTTTGGGGTCAAGATCAGGTGGCAGAGGTGAGTACTTCAGGCCCTCGGATGGATGGAAAGCAAAGTGTGAGACTCAGTGGGAAATTCTGAAATCCTCAACCCATCCTGTGAGCACTGGCAAGTGCATGACACAGGGTTTGTACTGCATCTACGTTTGTGGTTGGTTGTGACTGCCAGGGAAGTAGCAGGGGCCCTCATCACGACCACCTTTTTATTCTAGGACTTGGTGGCTAATGGGGCCCTTGTCAGCATCTGCAACAAGTATGGAGAGATGCCTGTGGACAAAGCCAAGGCACCCCTGAGAGAGCTGCTTCGAGGTCCGTCCCCCACCCACCAGCTTGTGTCCTTTCATCTTGTACTGCCTATCTCCTCCCTCCATACCACAGCTGAGGCCAAGACTATTTGTCTTTCTTCCTCAGAGCGGGCAGAGAAGATGGGCCAGAATCTCAACCGTATTCCATACAAGGACACATTCTGGAAGGGGACCACCCGCACTCGGCCCAGTGAGTCAGTTGTGAGGGGAGGGAGGGTAATAGGGAATCCTGGGCTCCAGGAGCTAAGTTTGGAGGAAGCTAGGTACCTGACCTGCCCACACTTTCAGGAAATGGGACTCTGAACAAACACTCCGGCATTGACTTCAAACAGCTTAACTTCCTGGCAAAGCTCAACGAGAATCACTCTGGAGAGGTGACCTCTGCCATTCATGCCCCTCCCTCCCCAAGCCCCCCAAATTACCTGTTATGTACTCATTTTAAGTTTCTTCTCCAGTTAGTGGGCATGAAAGTGGTGGCCTTAGTTAAAGCCTCCTAACCCTTACCTGTCCCTCAGCTGTGGAAGGGCCGCTGGCAGGGCAATGACATCGTCATGAAGGTGCTGAAAGTTCGAGACTGGAGTACAAGGAAGAGCAGGGACTTCAACGAGGAGTGTCCCCGGCTCAGGTGGGGCAAGGCCTAAACTGGAAGCTACTACTTCCAAGGAAACGTGACTCGCACCCAAGAGGGAGATGTTTTACGCTGGGTCTCAGCTAGGGACACTTTCTTCCTCTTCCAGGATTTTCTCGCATCCGAATGTGCTCCCAGTGCTAGGTTTCTGTCAGTCTCCACCTGCTCCTCACCCCACCCTCATCACACACTGGATGCCATATGGATCCCTGTACAATGTACTACATGAAGGCACCAGTGAGTAGGGGTTGTCATATCTCATTGAAGTGGGGAGAGGATGTGTGAGCCTCTCCAAACTATTTGACTCTTGCCTCTTCTCCTAGATTTCGTCGTGGACCAGAGCCAGGCTGTGAAGTTTGCATTGGACATGGCAAGGGGCATGGCCTTCCTACACACACTAGAACCCCTCATCCCACGACATGCACTCAATAGCCGTAGTGTAATGGTGAGGTCACAACTTCACTCTTGGCCCAGGCCCCCAAAGATCTTTC